TAAATGATTCATCAAATGCATCTAGCACGTCTGGAATAAATCGTTAGGGTCTTCCACAAAGTCTACTCCTGGAACGGTTGTGCTTCCTGATGGTCCTGAAATGTTTACTGTACCGTCATTATCCTCGGTGAAGGTTGTTTCTGCAATATCACGTTCATTCATGAGTCGCCTTACGTAGCTGATCTCCCTGTTAAGGTCAGTAACTACCAATGGATCTGAATTATACTTTACCTCCCTATTTAACCTATTTGTTAGTTCATCAAAGTTCGAAGTTAAGTCGTCGTAGTTCATGTCATCATACTGAGGATAGGTCTTTTCCATCTCCTCCATTTCATACTGGTCATAGTCCTCTGCACCCTCCATAATACTTTAACCTATGTTAGGGACTTTATGTCTCCAGCTGGTATCCAACTGTTAAATTTGTCATCATAACCTAACCACTTAACTAGGGCCATCTTTTTACCCTTCACTGTTCTTCTCCTTAGCACTTTCTCTATTCTAAAATCAGGTTCTCTTCCTTCGGCGCTATACAGTTCTTGTTCATAGAATCTGCCAATTATTGGTTCATCAGCACTGTCTTTTATTGTGTACGTGTTTGGATGACCGTGATACACTTCCGTCACAGTGAACAACTCCTCTGTGAAATTTGCTTCGTACCCTTTTGTGAACACTGATTTGTACTTTGAGATCCTAACACTTTCTCCCACAGCAAACTTTGGTTCTGACGGCTTGCCTAAATTATGACTAAAAAGTGTCTTCCATACTTCAGTCCAGTTGGACTCATTTACACTGTCTGGCGTTGTTTTAATTGATCTGTTCACTGAACTGTTGTAATTATCAGTTAAGTCCTGAAGGACGTCTAACCATTTATATGTACTGTCACTATAGAAGTACTTCCACATTAGAGCTTTCAGTATTCTGTTAAATCTTTCCACAACTGCGGCCTTTTTGTCTGAGTAAGTAGAGAAAAACTCAATGTTATGTTTATTGAGCAATGACTTTACATCTTTGTTGTAGAACTCTGTGCCTTGATCAAACTGGGTGAATTTTGGATATTTACCAAAGTGATTGTTAAATTGCTCTAAAATGTTACTGACGGCGTCCTTCATTGATGTCGCGTTTTTCCTATACACTGGTACTGTGAATGCGTACCTACTTAGTATTTCGATTGATGTGAGAATCCATCGATATCCCTTGTTCTTGTCGTCATACTTTGTCATGTCAACTAAATCCATTTGTAACTGTTCACCTAAAGTCTGAACGTACGTCTGTCTGAACTTATGTTTCCTAAACACTTGTCTGTACCTAGTGTATGTGTCTTGCTCGTTTATCCATTTCTTGACCTGGTTTCTGGTTACTTTAAGTCCGTCTGATACTGCTCTAAGATATAGTTTCTCTGGTGTTTGGAATCCAGTTTTAGGATTGTAGTAAATATCTCGTAGTCCTTGTTCTTTCATAATATCGTCGTCCATCTTATATTAACCAATGTAAGCCCGCTACTCAAGGTACATCTCAATAAGCACTTCACCTATATCAGTAGGTTTCCCATCTTGATCTGTCATGTAGAATACAAGTTCTGAGAATGAACCCTTAACAATCGAAGTCCTGCTTTCAACATCAATGTAACTAACAACTGAGCCTAATAATGGTCTGTCAGTTGGAATTGTAATAGTGGTTATTACATCGCTGGGTCTCCCCCAATGGTTAACGTTGTAAGTGCTGCTAACTAGATTGCAGTGCATATTTACAACTCGTAGACCATTATTAAAGTCAACTTTGCTATCACTTGTTAAACTCCTTCCTTTTAGTAGGATCATAGGATTTTTAAATCTATTAAAACCTAGCATGGTCAGTAATCGCGTCTCTATTGTGATATCCTGTTTAACTGCCTCTATTTGGCAGGATGCTGTTTCAGCAAAGTAGGTTAGCTTAACACCATGTCGTTCAAGTAACTTCTTCATACTGTCAAATGTGTAGTAGCCTTTTTGAATTTTTACTTCAGATTCTCCATCATCTGTTTTCACTTTGAGAATAGTTGTTGGTTCCCTTATATTGAAATACTCCCAGAATACTGATACTCTCTTCATAAAGACTGAATTATAATTACTTGTAAGAACTGAATTCTGTAGTGGTATAATAGTGTGCGAGCTCTGGAGTAAAATTGTGAACTTCATCTTAATAACATACGTTAGGTTATTAAGAATGATACCAGGTGGAGGAGATGTTGGTAAGTCGCCGTATAGATCGTATCAAGACTATGAAAATAAGTATGGAAAGGAAGATGGTGAAGATCATGTTGATCCTGTTGCTGGAAGAAATGCAGAGAATGCTGAGAGGGCTAGGTTTATTAAAAAGTACCCTCACGCAGATATGAAAAGGTTTAAATTTGAAGCAATGACTACCAGTAGTGGTGATATAGGAGTTATTACATGGTTTGTTGATTTAGATGGTATATCTTCATATGACATTAGATATGACGGTTTTAGGAAGGATAAGGAGTTTACATACTATCTCACAGGTACTAAGAAAATTATTACCCCCGCACAGTTTATACCTATGACTGATACAAAGGTTACAATAAGTGAGATTCAAGGTTTAGTTGACGGCTGGCCTCTAAAGTGGAGGTTGGGTTCTGGTGTAAGGGCTAAGTTAAACAACTATGACACATTTGATAGGTTTAGTTGGTTTCCTAAAATCGGGTGGAACACTCCTGCGCATTCATTTAAGGTTTACGTGGACGGTAAAAGTTTCTTTGTAACTTCCGGGGAGGCTGGCGGAAATATGCTTCCAAAAATTGAAGATAGTATTGAGATCGATGGTGTAAGTGTAGAGTTTGACTACAAAAAACCCTATTTTGCTGCCCTTTGTGGTGCATATATCGCAACATACTTATGTGGAATCACAAGTGGTCATCTTACTCCTGGTAATGATACTTACCCTGTGATAACAAGTATAATGAACTTTCACCTTTACTACTGCATTAGGAAGTATGTTTACAAACCTGAAAGATTAATTCCCTATATGGATATGCTGGATTCTATTAAAAAGCATATACCTGTTAAGGGTAAGTGGGTAAAGAAAAGTGATTATTATGATGTTGTATATGATTATGGACTTGATTGGGAAAAAAGTAACTGGATAAAGGGTAGGGGTGACGGTAGCAATCCTGTAAGAAATGTAACCAATTCTTCAGTTATGACTGTTAATGGGTTTCTAAAAGGAATTCGTGTACACTATGAGGAAAGAGTATCTGTTGCACTTGTTAGTAAGTCTGATTATTTAAGGTTTGTTAGTACTCAGACTGATCCGTATTTTGGACTTACAAAAACTGGCTTACTTCTATTAGGGGAATCAATTGAAGCTTACGTTTACTCTGTGTTAGGTGCACAGGCAGCTACCAGATCACCTATCACTGGAAGCTACGGAAAGTCATCTGCTACCCAGGTTAAGTTCAGCGCACTGGTAAATGATTGCGTTATCCAAGCTGATCCTGTTGTAACTCTAGGTAATATGAGAATTGCTATTAGAGACACAAATGTTGTACTTAACACAGTCGTCACCCCTGGAACTGTTCTGATTCCATCAAGTCTCATAATTCTAAGTAAGCCTATACCTGGGTATAACAATATTCTTAAAAACGCAACAAAGGATATGAAAAGAGGAGTTAATACCGAACTCAATTATGTTGGGGTTAAGAAGGCTAATCCCCCAAAGAAACAGCATCTAGACAATACACCAGTTCACCACCTTGATACTATTGATGGAAATAAGAAGGTTCCGGGAGGTCCTACAAGAGTTAAGCCTCAGGAAGGTTCTACAAGTGCCGAGACTCAAGTTGTTCCTATCACAAAACATAATATGGTTAGTACCCATGAGTCCTCAGGAGTCAGTGCTATCGCTGGAGCTGGGATTGGTGCTATGGTTGTATTTATTCTAATGAAAGTAATCCTGTAAACATTATGTATTCTATAAAATGGCTCTCTATAGAGGATACAATAAAGGAGTAAATAAAGTTGACCCATCAAGTGGTAGTGTGTTTGATAAGGATGGATTTACCATGAAGGGTGACATTGAGATGGATGGTAATGAGGTGAAAGGTCTGGGTGCACCTACAGATGATACTTCTGCGGTCACAAGAAAGTGGGTAGACGATGAGATCATTAAACAGGCTGCTATTACAATTCAACCAGCAGGGTTTACAATGACTGGGGATATTGACATGGGAGGTAATAAAATAACTAATCTTGATAATCCTACTAACCCAGGTGATGCTGCTAGTAAGAGCTGGGTTGAAGGCAGCCGTGCTAGTTTACCTGGGCTTGTTCTTACTAGTGATCTCAATATGTCAACAAATGAGATAAAGGCTCTAGGTGATCCAACAACTGGAAAGTCTGCTGTTAGTAAGGATTGGACCCTGACACAAATAGGAAACCTGGACTCTTATGTAGCCAGTCTCTACGTCCGGATTGATGGTACGCGTATAATGACTGGTAACCTTAAATTAGGTGGAAATCAAATTGAAAATGTTGGTGATCCAACAACTGGAAAGTCTGCTGTTAGTAAGGACTGGGTAGTTGGAATGCTAAATAGACCTGTATCAGGACTTAATATTGCTGGGGATATTGACATGAAGAACCACGAGATTAAGAATCTTAAGGATCCCTCTGAGGATCAGTCTGCTGTTACAAAAAAGTGGGCGGTTGATAATAACTTTGTTAAAAAAGGTGGAATTATGCAAGCAGATGTGTCCATGGGAGGCTGGAGATTGTTTGATCTTATTGACCCTAAACTTAGTAGTGAAGCTGTATCTAAAGGTTGGGTTGAGAATAAGCTATCTACGATTCCTGGCACCTCTGGTTTTACAATGTCAGGTGATCTTAATATGGGTGGAAATGAAATTAAAAATGTTGGTGATCCTAGTTCGAGTACATCTGCTGTTAGTAAAAGGTGGGTTACATCAGGATTCACTCTAAATGGTGATCTAACCATTGCAAATGGTAATTCAATCTATACGACCAACAACCTTGGTGCAAAAATAGCTATTCCCAATATTCAAACTGTGGTTAACCAAATTTCACGCTTTGCCTTGAAACTGGACGGTTCAAATGTAATGACAGGTGATCTTCATATGGGAGGTAATGAAATTAAAAATATTGGGGTTCCTAGTGCCGATAAATCTGCTGTTTCCAGAAAATGGGTGGAAGATAAGATTAGCGGTGGTCGTAAAAGGCGTGAAACTTACAGTGGACTTACTCTGTCTGATGATCTTGATATGGGAAACAATGAGATAATAAAGCTAGGTACTCCCACAACTGATAATTCTGCTGTTT